GCCCTGTAGCGAAAATCTCTCCAAAAAAAAAAAAAAAAGAAAGGTAGATGCAGAACTCTGGAGTTTCAGCAGAAATTGTAAACTGGAAGCTTCAGGCTTATTTTGTAGGCCCACCGTGTCCTGAAAGCTTTTCAATTAATTGGTAACATCTAAAAATTAAGAAGTTTACATGAAAACCTAGATTTCTAGCCTCTTGTAAAAACAAAAAAAAACAAAAAACAAAAAAAAACTGGAGGCTCTGGTGCCACTCTGAGGCTGCACCCTGCCAGGCAGAGGTGCTCAGAACTGAGCAGGGCAGGGGTGGGGCTCCCCGGTTTACCACAGGCCCCACCCAGCCTGCCACCCTCACTCAGCCGCCTCCCCCTCCATCTGCTCTGAACACACAGGTGCCGGTTGTGATGCCAGCCTAGGCACCCCAGTGTCACCAACGGGTGCTCCCAATCTGCCCGAAGAACCCACCTTCCTGATGCCCGTCTGGGAGGAGCCCCCTTCCTTTTCTTAGAAGGTGGCCCCCGTCAGGGGATCCCCCAACTATCAGCAGAAGGAGCCACATGCAGCACATGGTCTACTGTCGCCGTCTTACGGATGAGCAAAGTGAGGTCCGGGAGGTGAGAACCATGCTCAAGGTCACACACTGAGGTTCCTGCGCTGGAACCCAAACCCTCGGCTCTGGGCACGCTGCTCCTCCCACCACCACCACACACTCTGCAGGCACCAGTCACACTCAGTGACAGGGACTTACCCTCCGTTCTGGGCCATGGTGGCCTCATGGAGCCCGTCTGCACACCCTGTAGGGTCAGAAAGTAAAGGACAGTCACAGCAAGAGGCCTTCCCAGAGCCCCAGGTAGTCTGGAGCAGGCGCCAAAGAGCCTAGGCCTCTCAGCCCCTTCCCTAAAAAAGCCACCCTTCCCCTTGGCCTTACCCATGTCCCCAGTGCTGCAGTGCCCAAGGACATGTGCTCCAGCCTGCTGGGGACAGACAGAGAGACAGACGTGGACAGGGAGCCCAGGGCAGCCCCCCTTCCCAGCCCCTCAGTCTCCAGCCCAGTACCTGAGCTGGGTCCTCCACGCCTGCAGTGGCATTCTGGGCTGCGCTGCCACCGGGGACAGGCTGTGGCACCACCTTCTCCATGCCCTTCCTGAGCCAGGTCAGCACCCAGCCACTGGGACAAAGGACAAAGGATGACAGAGGTGCCAGTCTCCCCTCTGCCTCCCCCAACCGCTCCCTGGCCCAAGAGAACATCCTCAATGTCCTAGAGAACTTGGTTTGGGTCTCGAACCACTGTTTCCCCACTGTGAGACCTCAGACAGGTCACCACCCTCTGAGCCTGGTATCCTTCTCTGGAAAACGGGGGATGCCAGGCATGCCTGGTGCTATTTGGAACCCACCACTGTGGGATGCTCAGTAGGGAGCAGTCGGCTCTCCATCACCCTGCCGTCCCTTCAACCTGGCTCTGTCGCCCCCATCTGCTCTCGGTCACATCACACCTGGAAGGGCTGAGGCTGACTGCCCTACACACAGGGGCACAGACACTGCCCGAAGCTGGCCCTGCCCAGGTGTGTTCAGCTGAACGAGCTCCCTGGCCCCAGACGCCTGAGCCACCTGGAAGACTTCACACACAAATCTGGCATCCTGGCCACGCTGGACTTGCATTTCCCCAAGCACGAGAAACTTCTGGCTCTCATAGACTGGATACACGTGACCATGGCTCCCACCTCCGTTTCTCATGGTCACAGTGCACAGATGGCCCAGGAGACCCCCACCCTCCACCTGAAGCTCCCTTCAGCCAATTCCCAGATGCTCCAGGGCTTTTGCCCAACGTAACTACAGACCCAGGAGCAGTGCCCACCCCCTCTCCCCACCCCTTGGGCTCTCCAGAAGGGTGAGAGGGTGGGGCTGAGGAGGCGGAGGGGAGTGCAGAGGGTCGGCTGTACCTGTTCACTTCAGAAACCAGGGCCTGGAGGGATGTGGGTAGAATGAGGACAGCCTTCTGGGTCTCTGAAAAAGAGGTCCTCATCAGTGAGAGCATCTTACCATGTTAGGTCAGGTCAGAGGCGGGGGAGGGAGAACTCCAAGGGGCCAGAAGGCCAGGGTTCCAGTTCGACTCAACCGAAAAGTCTCCAGGAGCCCCCTCCCTTAGCTTTTCTGAGCCTCAGTCTCCTCATCTGTTAAATGTGCCTGCCAAGAGGCTCAGGGTAGAAGGCAACCTCCCTGCCCCACCAGCCTGGGCTCCCCACACTCACCATGAAGGTCTGAGTCAGTCGCAGGTGCTTCCTCCCCCTCTAAGGGCTCTTCAACTGGCTGAAGGGTTCAAAGAGGACCATGGAAGCCCTGTGTGAGACCAGCCTGGCTCGGACAGGGCAGCCCCGACTCAGCCACAGGGGATCCCACCCTCCAAAGAACTGAGCAACTCTATTCTTACAATGTTCTCTAAATCCTGGCAGCCTCACATTCTATCTGGGACATGCCCTTTCTCCCAGCTTCAAGGGCCCCTCATCCAGGGCTGAGGTCCTCACACCTGCCAATGTCATCTCCCAGCCTCCCGGGCCATCACACCCCCAGAAGCTGCCCCACTGCAGCGGCCTGAGAAGGAGGAGGAATCGCTAGACACAGTACAAAGGCTGGGGCAGGCTGAAGTGAAGAGGGAGGCAAGGGGAGCCCACCCCTCACCCCCAGCCAGGGCTCGCCCTCTCCTTCTGGTCCAACGCCATTCCTCTCCAGCAGCCAGGTAGAGTTTAGCCGCTGCCATCTGCCACTCACCTGCTTCTGCAGCCCAGCCTCCAACTCCTGCATGCATACATGTGTACACACATGCAGGTGCACATATACACATGTGCACCACACCCACACACATTTACACAGAGATACACAAATATGAGCACATATGCACATGTGTGTGCATACGTGTAATGGCAAACGTGTGCGTGTGCATATTAACAAAACAAATACATGTGTGTGCGTGTACATATAAATGCACATGTGTGCACAATGCCCAATGTACAAATGCACACATGTACAGACAAAAAATGTGTGCTTACATTTGCTCATACATTTGCATATATGCCCCAACACAGGTACACACACATACAGGCAATGCCTTGAGTTTTTATGCTATCGGCACGGAGGACCAGGCCTGGCAGCAACCAGAAGTTAAATCAAATGTTTAACTGAGCTGCTAAATTGGTTGTCATCAGGCTGCTGAACAGAAGTGATGCAGAACTGGCATTCAGTGTGCTCAAAGGAAAGTTCTAGGGAAATGTTCCTCAACGTGTAGTTCAAGAACTAGTGCCAGTCTGCAAACTGTTACTGGTCCCTAATTTTTTTTTTTTGAGAGTTGTTTTTTTTTTTTGGGGGGGGGGGTTTGGGGGTTTTTTTTGCTATAGGGTGCGTGCGCTCGCCAGACAGAGGGAGACAGAGACAGAAAGCGAGAAATCACCCCCGAGGGGGACTGGCCACCCCGCAATTCCTCCTCCTCCATTCTCCTCTCAGGATCTTGGGCACGCACGCACACGCGCCCAGCGTGAGTTTTAAGCCACCGGGTCCGGGACACGAACCACGATTGACTACATGGCAGTCCAGCGACTTAGCCATTACGCTAACTGCTGGTCCCCTCGTCCCTGATTATTAAGCAGTGTGTATCAATGAACTGCCTCCTTCATCAAGAAAGTCTTACTAGGAAATGAACACCAGCTGAGCAAAGCAATGTACTTAGTTACATGGTAGATTGACACTCTGCCACAAGCTCTCACTCTCCGTATTGACTGGTCACAAATAGTTCATGGACTGGCTACTTGGTGTAACTCTGTCCCAGACTCTAGAGAGCGGCCAAATATGGCTATCTTGTTGCTTATTTTTATAGATTAAGTTTTATTGAAACACAGCCATGCTCACTTGTTAATGCATTATCTGTAACTGTTTCCAGAGTATAATGGCAGAACTGAGTAATTCACAGAGATGGCATGACCCACATAACCTAAATACATACTATCCATCCTTTTACAGAAAACATTAGCCTTGGGCAAGGCCTCTCTCTGGACCCAAGTTTCCTTCTGGCTCCAACTTTCTCTATTGTAAGAGACCCATAGGGACCAGGTTGTCCAAGCTGGGAAGTCCCCAAGTCCCAAGGCCAGCCTGTTCCTCCTCGCCCTCTGCTTCTCACCAGGGGCTCGTCCTCCAGCTCTGTCTCCTCGGGAGCTGTTTCAGTTTCCGACTCTGGTTCTACCTCTGGTTCCAGCTCCGCCTGGGGTTCTGCCTCCTCTTCTTCCTCCATCTTGGTCTTCTGAGGCGTCCCTGGGGGCTGAGGCAGCACCCTCTGGACCCAGCCCAGCATCCTGACACCTGTAGGGACAGAGAGCTCACAGTAGTTCCCACCATTTGGTACCCATCCAGCCAAGGTGAAGCGGAGGAGTGCAGACAGGGAGTGCAATGCTGGAGCCATGTGGCCAGTCAGGGTTCAGACCCCAGGTTGACTTGAAATGTCCCCATGATCCTGGTTGGATAGAAGGCCAGAAGGCTGGGAGAGGGGATCACAGAGTAGTGTAATGAGACTGCTGTGGGTGTCCCTCTGTCCCTCCTCTCTCATGAAAATAAACAAAAAAAAAAAAAAAAGAAAGAAAGAGGAGACGTATTATTGAAAAGTACCTAAATATTCATCTGTAAAGGGGGCATATATAAAATAAATTATGATGGAATATTATGGGACCATTTAAAGGAATGAAGCAGAGACCAGCAGGTGGCATGGTGGTTAAGGTTCTGGATTCCCACATGGCCAACCACAGTTTGAGTTCTGGACCCGGCAGCTTGAGAATCACACCAGGAGTGTGTGTGTGTGTGTGTGTGTGTATGTGTGTGCCCAAACTCCCAGGAGGGGAAGAGACTGCAATGGGGCCATCCCCCCGGGAGGTGATTTTTCACTTTCCCTCTCTCTGCCTCTCTCTGGCAAGCACACGCACCCTATGGCAAAAAAAAAAAAAAAAAAAAAAAAGAAGCAAATGTATCTGAACTAACATGAGAAGATACGCATGCTCTGGGGCCGAGTCATGAACAGATCAGTTAAACTCCCTGGGAGTCAATTGTGAGCATAAAATGAATCAACAGAGTGACACCCTCGGAGCAGTGCCCAACGCATGCCGAGGGCTGGGTAAATGTCAGCTAGGACCATTACGTGGTGTCAAGTGAAAACACTCTCTGTGGAATATCACGTACTGCACAACCCCATTATAAATGAAAACTACATTGTGAATAGTATACTAATGGAACTATGTCTTAAGGTAAAATTAACCTAGACCTGTGATTTCTATATGTTTAAGGAAGCGACCAGTTAGGCCTCTTTTCAATGGTTTCTGGTATTCAGTCTTACCTCCACAGGTAGTTTCTGGCTCATTTATCTCCAGGAAATGAGATGCCCTTGGAACTGAAGCCCTGCAGGGGTGCCCCGGCCCAGAGGGCCCCATGCCTATCGTTGAGTGCAGACAGGTCATTCTGAGTCAATGCCCAACACAGATGGGTCCCCACCCCAGCCATAGGCAGCTAAGTGGTAGTGGAATGCCCAATGCCCCCTCTGCCAGGGACCCTGTCCTCACACCCAGCCCCCAGGCCCTCCTGCCCATGCTCACTGCCCTTCTAACCTCTGGCCCTGACAGACAGCCTCTCCCACCAGAGGCTGTGGGGGAGTCAGGTCCCATCTCAAACACCAAAATAGTGAACTTGGGCCAGACATGACCCCTCTGGTTTTCCATTCCTCCACTGAGTGAGGGGAAAGACACAGTGACTTCCCCGGTTGGGACAGCAGGTTCTACTGACCCCCGCTGGTCACAGGCAGCCCAGAAGCTGAGCCAGGTGCTCTCCACCAAAACCACCCTCATCCTCTTCTCACTCCCACGCTCTGCCCCTGCCACTAATAGAAGGACTTCCACCACAGAGCACAGAAAGGTCAGCCAACTTCGCAGGGAACAGCCAGCCAGTGGCCAGGCTGAGTTAACACCCAGGTCAGCCCAGTTCCAGCAGGCCCCCTCTCTACTCAGGGCGGTGCTGCCATTGGCTGACTGCCGGCCTCTTCCCAGTAGGCAACCATTCTGGCTTATAGTTCTAAACCTTCTGGAAATGACTAGGAAAACCTCTTCTCTCCCAAATTTCCTTTGTCCCCTAAAGTCAGCCATTCCCTCCTGAGAGGGGAATTCTGTAGGTCCTGCCCATCTCTCTGCCATGTCCCTGCTGACTCCACTTGGGTGAGGGAGGCTCAAGCAAGAAGGGGTGAAGCAACCTGGGAGCAGCAACCCAGGGAACTATAGTGCCGGGTAGGTCAGCAGCATTTCCAGAATCTTCTAGGGAGCTGGTGAAAATACAGAGTCCCAGACCTTACAAGCCCTTCGGGAGGCCTGGAATCTACATTTCACAAACTGCCCTGAAGACTCTGGTGCACCCCCAAGTCTCCCCACAGGGGGAGAGGGAAGCAGCAGGCTCACACCTCGTCTGTTTTCTCATGCCTAAAGGCTTGCTAGGAGTATGGGGTCCCATCACGTGTCACCTGCCCCATCAGGTAGGCCTCCACCTCCTCCCAAGTTACCTGCTTGGATGCCAACCGCCAGCCGGGACCTGCCTTCTTGCTGCCGCCTCCAGGAGCCTCTCAGACACAGGGGAGATTAATTGGCAGCAGCTGAGCCGTGTGCAAAGGATTAGCAGGTGCCGAGGGGGGTGGGGTGGAAAAGAGGCAGCGGGTGCCCAGGGGACTGGCAGCAACCACCCAGTGCCCAGCAAGGACTGGGCCCCAGGGAAGGAGTCGCACATGGCCCAGGTTTAGGGTACCATGGGTTGTTGGGAACCCACCCAGGTGCCAGGACCCCGGCTCCTACATACCTTGGCCAAGCCACAGAATGACTGGTGCTAGAATAATGGCCTAGCATTCCCACCACTCCTCAAGGTGGCAGGGGCTTGTGCCCTCTCACCCAGCAGTGGCAGGAGGTGTACTCCAGCTCACCAGCCCCAGTGCCATGACTCAGGCATGTTCTCTCTGGCTCAGTGCCTTCTGTAGATGGGGCAGGGCCTCCAGAACCCTACCTGGACCCTGCCAGAATGGCCATAATCCCAGGGCTGGGCCTTTAGAACGAATTCAGAGACTGTCTCTGTCTAACCTGCTCTTTAAAGAGAGTGGAGTCTCTTGCTTTTTAAAAATTATTATGATTATCATTAACTTAATCGGCGTCTATTTTTTTAAAATAACCTTCTCGAGGTACACTTTATATGTCATGATATTCACCCCCTTTTAAGTGCATAACAGTGATTTTTCTATGAGTGGATTTCAAATTGTAGAGGTTTTTGCACCAAAATAAACTTGTACTTTAGGTCCATTTTCCCACAAACTTTTCAAAGTCCCCTCATATACTTTCATTTCTCTTGGGAAGACTCCTAAGAGTAGAATCTCTCGGGACCAGCAGTTAGCATAATGGCTATGTCGCTGGACTCCCACGTAGTCAACTGTGGTTCGTGTCCCGGACCCGGTGGCTTAAAACTCACGCCGGGCCCGTGTGCATGCGTGCCCAAGATCCCGAGAGGAGAATGGAGGAGAAGGGATTGCGGCGTGGCTATCCCCCCTGGGGGGTGATTTCTCGCTTTCTATCTCTCTGTCTCTCTCTGTCTGGTGAGCGCACGCATCCTAGAGCAAAAAACTCTCAAAAAAAAAAAAAAGAGTAGAATCTCTCATCAAGCACACTCACATAGTAAATTTATGTTTCACCGTTTTTTAAAAATTAGCTCTAGGGTACATGCACTCTCCAGAGAGAGAAAGTGAGAAAGCACCCCAGGAGGGATGACCACACCACAGTCCTTTCTCCTCCACCTTCCTCTCAGGATTTGGGGCAAGTGTGCACATGTGCTTGGCATGTGTTTTTCCAGCTGCTGGTTGGAACGATGGAGTCAGATGTGTGGGATCTAGCTGCCTTGATTTGCACACTCCCTGCTGACCCTATTTCAGTTTTTAAGAAACTGTTAAAATGACCCAGCCACAGTGGTGCAGGTGGAAGGGCACTGCCCCTCAATGCTAGAGCCACATGGAAGACTGGGGTTCAAATCCTGAGTCAACCTGAATTATGCCAGCCAAGTACACACTGTGCTCCTGGCTGGCTGTGGGGCTGAGAGCCTGCCCAGGGTGCCCATTTCTCTCTCTTATTCTCTTGTCTTTTTCTCACTCTCAAAATAAAACAAAACAAAATTAAATTAAATTAAAAATGATACTGGGCAGTGATGCATGCCTGTAATCCCAGCTACTTGAAAGGCTGAGGAAAAAGGATAGAGATTTCAAGGCCAGCCTGAGCAGCACAGTAAGACCCTGTCTCTAATACATATAATGGGGCAGTGGTTAAGGCACTGGACTCCCACATGGTCAACCACGGTTCGAGTCCTGGACCTGGTGGCCTCAAACTTACACCAGGCACATGTGCATGAGTGCCCAAGATCCTGAGAGGAGAATGGAGGAGAAAGGATTTCAGCATGGCCATCCCCAGCTGGGGGGTTATTTCTCACCTTCTGTTTGTCTCTCCAGTGAGCACTTGCACCCTGTAGCAAAAATCTCTCTCTCTTTATATATATGTGTGTGTGTGTGTGTGTGTGTGTGTGTGTGTGTGTGTTTGGCAAAGTAGTATCCCATGTTTTGGCCTGGTGGTAGTTATACAGGGTCTCTGCTTACAAATTATGTGTTAAATGATATATTTGTGCTTGTTCTGTATTTTATCGTGTTGTAACTTTAAAAGAGTTAAAGAGCCAGCCTATGGCCTGGTGGTTAAGGAAGCTGGATCCCACATGGCCTACCGTGCGGTTCAAGTCCTGGACTTGGCAACTTGAGAAACCTGTCGAGTGCATGTGTCTGCCCAAAATCCCAAAAGGAGAGATGGAGAAGGAATTATAATGTGCCCATGCCCCACGGGGAGTGTTTTCTCCCTCTCTTTGCCTCTCTCACATGCCCTCTGGCAAAATAAACAGAAAAGACATACACTGGGGTGGAAGTGGGGAAGGAGTCACTCAGAGTTTTCTGGAAGGGGTCGGACTTGGAGGCGCGCTCCAGGGGCCGACCAACTGGGAAACCAAACTCTACAGGAATCACAGCAGGGGCCCCAGCACCCATCATGCTCCAGACCTGGGCAGGTATATGCAAATTACGTGCCACCATACGCAAATAACTTGGGCTCTCCCAGTTTTCTCACTTTGGGGGTCCACCGGGGTCAGGCCCCCAGGGTTTCTGGGTGTTGTTGGGCTTAGGCATTCCCTATTGGCTGTCCTGGCAGGGAGGAAGCCTGCAGTCCATCAGAAAGGAGGGGGATGTATCACCTGCTAATCCCTGGCCTGCTGAGGCCACCATTGTCCTTGATCCCCTCAAGATGACCCTGGATACTGGTTAGGCTAATCCCCACCTCACCCCCAACAGAGACCCAAGAACTGGCAGATAGCCCAGGGCCTGAGGTTTGCAGGGAGGGGAGAGTCCCTTTAGCTCCCAGATATCCCTAGGGCCCTCGCCTCATGGATAGGAGCCCAGAGGTTCAGAGGACGGTAACTAGTCCAGGGTCACACAGTCTGGGATAGGCCAACAGCCATCCCTGGCCTGGACACCCCCAGAAAACTCCAGCTCCTGTCTGACAGCTCCCAAGATGGCAGGCCATGCTGAGGAGGTGGGAAGGGAGTGGCCAGTGATGCTCAGAGCCTGTGGTTGCCAGGGTTGCCAGGGAGTGGGTGCTCTCACAATCGGGCTGCAGCGGGCATTGTCTCCGCACAATGCTCCTTTATTCTCCTGCTGTCCATAGGGCACTGGCACCTGCCCCCATCCTGTCTGGTGAGAAGCCGGAAGAGCACAAAGCTGTTATACGTCTGTACACCTGAGCCCTCCAGATGAGGTAGCTGTGGTCGTCGGGTCCAAGCAGGGATCCCCCTCTTCCCTCCTCTCGAAGCTCCACTTCCCAGCGCCTCCCCAGGCCTCAGCACCAGGCCCTCTCTCTGCTCCCCCAGGGCCCAGGTCTTCTCTCTTTCTGTCTACCAATCTCCCTCCATATTTCTCACCTCAAACTAGGGGTTAGGAAGAAAGCAAGCTGAATCCTTGAATTCTCATTGAAGTGTAGGTGACTGAAAGAATGTCTGCTTCTCTTTTCTTTAAGAATACTTTTTAAACTTTATTTTACTTATTATTATTATTATTATTGTTATTTGCCCAGAAAGGGAGAAAGAGAAAGTGAGAAAGCAAGCCGCCAGGTCCAGGACTTGAACCGAGGTCAGCAGAATGTCTGCTTCTGAAAGGGAGGCACCTTTGAAGCAGCAGTCTTTTCCTCATTCAAATCGGTCACGTCTCTCTCTCTTCTTTAAGACATGCCTGGGTCTCTCTAGAGAAATCTAGGGAGATGCCGGGTAGAGCAGTTAGGGCAAGTCTCCATCACCCAGAGGCACAGGGCACACTGAGCTATATTCTAGCTATTTGCTGCGGCCTTTTCCTGCTCAGCATTTAACAACGAGCTCAGGTAAAACGCCTGCCGTTAGACCATTCCTTCCGCCGGCCAGTGGCATGCTGGTTAAGGCAGCTGGATCACACATCGTCAGTTGCACAGTTCAACCCAGCAGCTTGACGTGTGCATACATGCCCAAAATCTCAAAAGGAGGAAGAAGTGGAGGAGAAGGGACTGTAGAGTGACCAGTCTCCATGGGGGTAGGGGTTGATTTCTCACTATCCTCCGATCGCTCTCCGGTGAGCCTACACACCCTCTGGCAGATTTTTTTAGAAGACCATTCCTTCAATGCCCCAACCCCAGCAGCCCCAGACACATTCTCTGACTTCCCCTAGAGCCCACAGTGCATTGTGTGTGTGTGTGTGTGTGTGTGTGTGTGTGTGCGCGTGTGTGTAAGGCAGGCTCTCTCTGTTATCTAAATAACCCTGTTACCACATGCAAAGCTCCTGGAAAACAACCTGGCACACAGTAGGTGCTTAATGTTCGACAAGTAGCCATATCAGCACTGGCCCCCACTGGGTGTCCAGCTGGTGCCAGCCCCGCGTGAGCCCCTAAATACTCTCTGCTCCCCAGCCATGGCCCGCATCATCGACCTGGTGCCCTGGGAAGATGGCTGCGCCCACGTGTACGCCTCCCCCGCCATCCTGCTCCCCGTGGAGCGCCCCCGCAACCAGCTGGCCAGCGTGAAGCAGCAGCTCTACCACCCCGCCCTACCCACCCTGCGCCGCATGGACATGGACACCGTCAAGGCCTGCCTGTCAGATGAACACTGCCAGTCCACCACCTACTGCCGCAGAGGTCAGGCCACCTCGCCTGCCACTAGCCCTGGGTCCCCTCCGGCTGGCAGGGGATGGGTTTGGGGTTGGCAGGAGAGAGACCCCCAAGGGAAAAGCTGTGAGTGGCAGATGAAAGGGCTAACAGGGTAGTCCCAGCTCTGCTACTGCCTGCTTTGGAGAGAGCCAACTCTTTGTTTTCTTATCAGTAAAGATGATGATAGGGGCCAGCAGGTGGCATGGTGGTTAAGGTACTGGATTCCCACGTGGCTGACCACAGTTCGAGTCCTGAACTTGGCAGTTTGCTTTTACATTTTTTTCTCTCTGTCTCTCTCTCTCTCTCTCCTGGTAAGCTATAGCAAATGTGCCCTACAGCAAATTAAAACATAATCATCATTATAAATAGAATTAAATTTTTTTTAAAGGGTGATGAGAGGGCTGTTTGGAGAGTAAAGTGAGATGAGGCATGAAAAGAAAAACCTTAGAGCAGTACCTGGCGAGTCATAGGTGCTTGGCTATGTTATCGCTGTCGGTGTCACTGTTACTATTACGTTGTTATTTTATTATTATTATTATTTTAGTTTTTTGCTATAGGCACATGTGCTCACCAGAGAGAGAGAGAGAAAAAATGAGAACTCACCCCTTGGTGGAGTGGCCATGCCTCAATCCCCTCTCCTTTATTCTCTCGGGATTACAGGTGCTCACGCACATGTACCCAGTGTGATTTTTCAAGCTGCCAGATCTGGTATTCAACTGCTTAGCCATGTGGAACCCAGTGCCTTAACTTTCATGCCGTCCTCTGGTCCTATTGCTATTCTTTTGTAAGTTTTTTTTTTTTTTTTTGGAGAGGTTTTTGCTATAGGGTGCGTGTGCTCGCCAGACAGACAGAGAGAGACAGAGAGAAAGCAAGAAATCACCCCCCAGGGGGGATGGCCACACTGCAATCCCTTCTCCTCTGTTCTCCTCTTGGGATCTTGGGCATGCACTCACACGTGCCCGGCATGAGTTTTAAGCCACCCGGTCCGGGACGTGAACCACGGTCGACTACATGGGAGTCCAGCAATATACGCTAACCGCTGATCCCTAAGTTAATTTTTTAAGCTTCTTTCTTTCATTCTTGAGGGAGAGCTATCCCTAGCAGGGTTCCCACCCCTAGTCTCAACCACTGGACCACGGGCACCCAGCATGCTCAGGGAGGTCCCAGGATGCAAACCCAGGACCCTTCCTGTATGGGCCCAGCTGTGCTTCTGCTGCACCACCTACTGACCCCTGTGCTTGCTATTATTAAAGCATAGAGAACTGTGCAAAGATCAGTATTTGCACTAGTACAAGTACTAATAACAGCAATACTAAGGACACTCAAACATTCTCCATCTGGAACAGGGAGAGGAAGGCCCCCTCCTCATATCTCCCACGAGTTAAGGAGGACACGGAGTATTTGCAGTTAAAGGACCTATGGGCCCATGGAATCGCCCTGCATGACTGAGCAGCTCGGAGGTGGAGTAGGGGTGCCACGCAGACGTGCACACGTATTCATCTCAGCACCTCCATTAGCCCCTGCTTTTGTGCCTGATTCTGTGTGGAGTTCCCAGGAAGCAAAGAACATTCTGGTGAAGAGAACAGCATTTGCAGGGGGCTGAAGGGAAAAGCTACCCAAGACTCTGGGAGACCGTGAAATGTCTAGTTCATCAGGGCAAAAATGTTTTGGGGGATGCATTCTCATCCCACATGGCAGACTGAATTTGTGGTTTGAGTCCCAAACTAAGCGGCTTGAAAATCATACCAGGCACATGTGCATGTGTGCTCAGAATCCCAAGAGGAGGATGGAGGAGAATGGATCGTGGCTTGGCCATTCCCTTTGGAGGGGTGTGATTTCTCACTTTCCCTCTCTCCGTCTCTCTCTGTGTGTCTCTCCAGTAGGTGCATGCACCCTATAGCAAATTGGGCCAAACCCTCTTTCACTTTTTCCATCGGTCAGAACTGCGGTGGCGGACGAGGGCACAGCCCAGAAAGGGCCCTGTTGTTAAGCTCAGGGGGGCGGGG